GTGGGGGGGTTAGCATTTATAGGCTAGGGAAGATGGGGGAGGGGCTCCGTCTATGCAGCTAGAGGAGAGTCATCGTCCCTGCGGGGTAAGACTCTTGGGGGAGGAGCACCCACACCATTAAGTACCCCTCACCTCTGCTCGCTAAGTAAGCCTGGTAAACTAACTGGTTCCCCAGAGTGGACGCTGGTGGAACTGTACCATGCTTTTCCCACAGGGACCTTGGGCAAAGGGACAGGTGTTGCCTAATCCTCCCTTGAGAAGGGATTTTGGCAAAAGATGCACACTTGTGATCCCAGCACTCTAGAGGTAGAGGTGAGGAGGGTCATCTTAGCTACACAGTTGAATTGGAGGCTAGCCTGGGCTACAGGACAAGACTATACCAAAACAAACAAACAGCATAGTGTGCAAATCTTGAATCCAACCTTTAATCCCCAAGATTCTGAATGCAGAGGCAGGTGGGTCAATGTGAAGTCAGAGCCAGCCTGGTCTACATAGGAAACTCTCCAAAACGAAAGAAAACCTATCACAGGTCTTTCTGAAGTCCCAGGGTCACTTTGTAAAAATTTTAGATTTGTTTTATGTGTATGGGTTTTTTGTCTGAATACTGTGTGTGTGCCTGGTACCTGAGGAGGCCAGGAGAGGGCGTGAGATTCTCTGGGACTGAAGTTACAACCGTGAGCCACCATCCACGCAGGAGCTGGGAATTGAACCAGGTTCTCGGGCAGAGCAGCCCTTGCTCTTACGCTCCGAGCCGTCTTGCCAGCCCTTAAGTTACATAACGCGACCTGTGTGAACTTGCTGAGAAGCTGTAGCTGCGGGATCTACCTGGAGTGGTTTTGACATCTGTGTCTATTTCCCTGTGATTCCCTCAGGCTTTCTCAGAAACGTCACATCTAGGGCTGGTGGAGGTGGCCCCTGGGCCTGAGGGGACCCCGACTTTCTCAAGTAGCACTTGGTTGTTCCAAATCCTCAAGAAAGAGCACACACTTTGTACAGACTTACTGACTCTTCCTGTCTGAGGAAAAAAATTGGGGAGACCAGTCTCCCTGTCTAGGGAGTGTGGTTCTGGGGTCTCCAGGAGGGAGCGAGGTCCCGGCAGGGAACAGCAAGCGTGTACGAACCCTGAGAAAGAGTGACGTGTGACTCCTTCGTCACCAGGCCACAGACCACACTTTCCTCCAGAAGTGCCACTATCACCACGGTGATCATCCGAGCTACGCCAAGCCTCAGCTGCCCCTGCCCATATTCACCGTGCGGCACTCTGCTGGGGCTGTCACCTACCAGGTATCTGTTCTTGAGTGTTGTCTGTCGGGTGTGGGTTCACTCGGGCCGTGGAATCAGGAGACAGATGCACCTTGAGGATGAATCTTAAGCTTTTCTCAGCTGCAGGGGGATTCCTCTCTAGAGACTGGTCCACCCTCGTTTAGCAAAGGGCCCTTTTGTTATACAATCCATACCTTTACCAAGTTATACCAAGACTTCCTATCTAAGCCCCCCAGAGGGACAATGCCAAAGTCAAATTCTCCGTACAGAATACCAGTGTTCTGGCTGTTCTTAAATTAAGTTTGCATAGTCTTTGAGCCCCTAGGAAAACTCTCAGATAAGACCTCAATCAGAAGGTATGGGAGACAGGAGGTAGCAATCACAAAGGGCAGATCAGAGCTCGGTGCTACCACTCTGCAGACCAAATCAAACCAGGTGTAGCTCTGTGGGAATTCTCCCCTCACTTGAGTATAGACTCCAGGGTGAGTCAGTAAGGCCCTGTCCCTTAGGGTCTGCCCCTCCCAAGCTGAGTCATCTGCCAGGTGACAATGTCAGGGAGGTCCCTTCCAAGGTGTGGCAGTGTGTAACTCCACCTCAGCATCAGGTCACACCCAATTCCGAGCATTAATTATTTTTCATAGCTCCTCAGCAAGGGGTGGGGCCTTGGGAGCCCCTCCCACTCATGCTGAATATTTATGTTTTTAATGTGTGTGTGGGGAAGACGGGGTTGTGTATGCTACAGCACACATGTGGAGGTCAGGGGATAACTTTTGGGCGTTGGTGCTCTCCTTCCACGGTGTGAATACCTGGGGTTGAACTTGGGTCCTCGGACTCGGGAAGCAGGCACCTTACTGGCCCAGTTTCTTATGCAGTTTGTTCTCTCTCTCTCTCTCTCTTTTTTTTTTTTTTTGGTTTTTCTAGACAGGGTTTCTCTGCGTAGCTTTGCGCCTTTCCCGGAACTCACTTGGTAGCCCAGGCTGGCCT